TGCCGTTCGAGAAGCTGTATGTATGTCATGCCTGCCGTGCATGAGTGAGTCGTGAGTGTGTGCCTCTCTAGCCGTGTGTGTGTGCTCTCTCTGTCTCTCTGTCTCTCTGTCTCTGTTTCTGTGTCTGCCTCTCTGTCTGTCTGTCTGTGGCACAAGCACCGCTGTGAGTGCTTGGCCTTTTCGTCTTGTGTGTATATGTGTGTGTGCGCCTGGCTAGCTACCTACAGAGTGTGTCGATTTGGTTGGTGTGTGTGGAAAGACACGTACGTCGAATGAATGAATGATGAGACTCACGCGTGACCGACAAGTGATGCAAAATAAATGACGCTTAGATAAATCGATGTGTTGCCAATTGATTGGCCCGTTCATGCCAATAGATAGATATCCGTCTGCAGAACCACACGACAATTAATGCAGATTATAGACACTGCCCGGCCACTTTAAACAGGCGGCGGTGGTACAACAGATCTGATGCTATGTCCACTGCAAATGGCCGGCAACAAGTCGGCAGTGAGAGGGCCCGGTGCCGCGCATGCAGACAGACGTCTGAGCTCCTCGACGGCCACTGAGGCCTGCTTGGCCAGGATCAGAGAGCGGAGGGAGGGGGAGTCGCCGAAGCAAGCGGCACAGGGTCAAAAAAGGACGCCGCCCCTGACGAAAGCAGCCCCATGCACCGCAACACAACCAGAACATAAGTACCTGCAGAAGCCATCCACCCAGTGCGTTTCCATCCATCAGGTCTGATGACAATACATATGTATGTCTAAAGAGGTGGATACATATTTGATCCGATCGTACACGTCGGGTGTCTTTCTGTTTCCTTTTTTTCTGTCCCTTTAAAGAAGTGAGAGAACGGTTTCACGAAATGTCCTAAGTCTGCGCGCTTGGAGAGCTCGGGAAAGTCGTCAGGTGATCGGGAAACACACCAATGAAGCAGATCTATGCAATGACGAATGCAGCGCATGCATTTGTTCTTCTTTCTCTGTTGGCGTGGTGCCTGTTGGTTCGTTGGTGCGTGCAGACGGGTCGCACCGCTCGAAGACCAGCCCTGCCCTCAGTGACTCACAGTCGGCCGGCCATGGTGGACGATGAGGTACATCGCAGGCTGATTGGCAGCGAGCGAGAGGTGTGACTCCTCTCTTTTCTCTCCCTCCCTTCTCTCTCTGCAGTGCGTGCGACTGTCTTGGTGGCCTTGTGTCTTTTGCATCCACCCACTGTTGCCAGCCTGAGCTGTCCTCCATCCATCCATCCATCCTCCTCATCCCCACTCGACTGCGAGCATCTCTTTGCCGACCACTCTGCAGACAGCTTAAGCATCCCTGAGTGCTGCCCACAGCCCGCTCTTTGTTGTCTGTCACTGACTCGTGCCTGCCTCTCGGTCTGCTGGTGGTCTGCTTGCTCGCGTCCATCCATCCATCCATCCATCCATCTGCCCCTGACAAGGATGATGAAGGTCC